CCCCCCGCATCCGTTTTAAGACCTTCCCCTACACGTGCCTAGATCCCAAGTACGAACCCCCGAAAAAAATATGCAAATTTCTTTAACCGAATACGACTTTGCGAACCAGGCAACGCATAAAGCTGAAACTTTGCAGGGATATTCTTCGTGCATGTGCAAGCTAAAGGTTTCAAATTCAGCTGTCGCGCACGTTTGTGCAGTGCGTGCGATCACGTCAAATTTTGCAACTTGGTGTTGTGCTAACTCGAAAACTTGCCGAAAAACAGTGGCTGTAATTTTGTTAGCATGTTTAACACCCATATGGGAAATAGAACACCAAAAATGAGTACTGATTTGCACTTGTGCCACGATTTAGGGCACTTCAAAGATATTTGTAGCGAAGTGGATATTTCGCTTACCGGATAAGATGCGACACTGAAAATTCGCTGGAATATTCTAATTCCAAGTGCGGTCTTAATTCTGCTTAATGGTGAAATTCCCTGCAGGTAGGCATGAGATATATTCACCTTTGCCGAGAAACCAGAAACGAGTGCGTTTTTGACCGGCCGCCCTCATCCAAATATTTAAATGAAAATTCAGTTCATTTGCATAATTGGATTTTTTGACAAAAGACCGCTCTAGCAACACTTACACTTTTTAGTGAACTGGAAATTTGCATTTTTTCAAAAAATTTGCATTATTCATTTTTTCAAAAAGCGAGCACTTACTGAAAAAACGACCGTGCTTCATGCAGAAAACTGATGATCATGTACCTGGAAGTCCGTGCGGCTCTATAATGCACCACCTTCATCTCATCCGACGCCCTTCTTTCTGCATGCCGGAAAGGGCCAGAGCATGGTCAATATGAGCCCAAGTGTAGGTACAGCGCAGGAATCATTCCTGCTATTGGCGACCTACAAGTTTAGTGCAAAAACTTAATAATCACACCGGGAAGCCTGATGCGTCCCAAACTGAGTTGTATTTGCATATGTGCAAAAACGCATAAAAATCAGAATATCTGCAGGCGAAACGTAGGAAATGTGAGAGTTTTTGTTACGCAGGCTTATCCGAACAAGTTTTTGGACCGTCTAGCGAAATTTCAACACGCTGATAGCTTCAGTCGCAACATTACAAATCTGTGAGTCTCAGGTTACATGTATCTATGCGTAAGATGTAAGAGGAATGCGAAAGTTGTACACAGTCAACAAATATTCTCCCAAAAAGAATTCTAACTCATTAGCGTGTCTGGCTCTCAAAACCGTTTTCCTGTCAAAATCTTTTACGTGCTCATATATGAGAATGTGAGAACGAAGGCATTAATTTTGTTTCTGAAAACCTGTGTATAATGACGGGCTAAGTTGCCAAAATTTCAGTTCCATAGTCTTGTAGATCATGAAATCGGGAAATATGGGCATATATAAACATATACGGTTTCTCCCGAAAGCTGTTCGTTTCTGCATTGCGCTCAGGCAAAAAAACCCATAAAAGTAATGGCATTTTAAGGCTTTTCCAAAGACTTACTAAAGGCGCTTCAGCAACATTTTCAAAAATTATCTTTTGCTGACATTTTTTGAGCGCGGAATTTTCAGATACTATCTCCATTATTTTATCTCGAAAATCAGTTATAATCCGGATTAAGAATGCTCAAAAGAAGGACACAGTTGGCTGTGTTTCAGTGAAAATGGTTATTACAAAAAATGATACCGATCGTTGCCGTCTTACAAACTACTATCATTTTTCAAACAGTTAATCTTTTACTGACTTTTTGAAGAAATCGCATAATATTTCATTGACCCGTGGAGATACTTACTTAATAGCCAGATACTTTTTACAAAGTCTAGCCGCCTCCAGATTTTCGTTTATTAAATTTCTAATAAAACAAAACCAATAATATCTCTTTAAATGGCTGAAAGGGATTGCTGCAATGCTACATCAGTTAAATACTAATGGAGGAATTATTATAATTAACTGTTAATTATAAAATAATTAACAATTAATTAAAGGTAAAGTTGTTATGAAACTATTAATTAGAAGCAAGATACTTAACCGGCTAACACTTAATTCATACTGTTGCCATGAATTAATACACCTGAATATTTACAACTGCAAAATCAAAGCAGCCCACTTATGCAGAAATTACAAAAATACCAAAGCATACCATAAAATAATTGACGTCGATCGATGCAGGATGTAAGTTGTAAGCCATTGCAGTGAGGCGAAGGAGAAGTAGTACCAGAAAAAGAAGTAGCAACAGTGCTGAAGAAATTAACTAGGTGCTGGGGGAGACCTGTGGTACCATAAAGTGTAAGATAGTGGATCCAGCAAGACTGCCACTGTGCTGGTGTCAGCGAATTGGCCAGACAACATAGCCACTGGTCCCAAGCCATCGAATTTAGCAAATCTAGCGGCATATGCGGTCCTTCCAGTGAATCTGATGATGGATTATAATTTGCTAATGGTGACGGCGATTGAGCATGTAATGTGGCCAGATGCATTGATGGCGCGAAAAGTTGCTGAAGCGCTGCCTCAACCACCGATGAATCCAGAAACTGTGCACCAGCATCGTTTTGCACCAGTGAGTTGCCCTGAGCTGGAAGCGAACCCAGCGAATTCAAGGTTGAAGTTGATGGTTCTGGATCTGATGGGTGCACGAATTCCTCCTCAGAGCGAAATAGCTCTTCTGATGAATGCATTGTTTGATCCTCATTTTCCATTTCTTAGCCAGTCTGCAAATTAGTTTGTTATTTAAAGCCAAAATTTGAAAATGGTGGGGAGCAGTACTTGGTGAGGACAATTTTATTTCCTAGGAAAGTTTTAAGAAATATCAGAATACATTGTATGGAAAAGGTGTAAGTGTTGTTCTGTAGATATGCCTCCGAAGTTTGACCAAAGTGCTCAGCTTTGTCCACAAAGCAATCGCACAGCAGTGGAAGCGCGCACTTAGTAAATAAACTTCCTAGTATATGAGTCCTTCCCGAGTCTGCTTAGCATTTGTACGATCTGCCATCTTCTATCATTGCATATTTAACGAAACTGCTATATGTGATGCAAGGGTGCATTATTACCTGGACAATGAGGTCAAATAAACACTCGAATGAGAAAGAGAAGGTAGCAGGAATGCTGCCAGAAATTTGATCGACAGTTATCCATAAAAGAGCTACAGATAACTTCCCATAACCAACGAAGTTCAGAATAAAACACGGACGTTCTTGAAAGAGAGAGAGAAAAAAAAACGTGGACCATTTTTTACCTCTTTCTACAAGGGATATTAATTACGAAAGCAGTTTTTATTGCAGAAAGGTCCAGCGTGCCACCGTTCTGACTCACTAGCGAGGCACCCGCTAGGACTCTGTGAAGAAACTAAGCAACTGCGGTGAGCAAAACGGTCAACAAAAAAGCAGAGCGAAATTCAACTCAAAATATTTCGCCGATTTTGTAATTTCTAAACCTTCCAAAACTAGCGGGATACCTGGCCTTGTACGGTATTGAAAACAAGACTGCCTGAGCATAACTTTCAGAAGTGAATCGAGGGAAGTTGAAATCTCGTGCCTTCATACCTTGGAAATTCTTGTATCGCCGTGTTAAAAGACAGATCCTTAGCGACTTGCTTTTCGAATATATGCCTACTTAGAGCTGCTTATGTAGAGGAGGCCCCGCGAAAGGACGCCAGTTGTTAGAAGGGGTTCTGCACAGGGTGCAGTAGTCAGACGAAATTGAGGATGTTTGGGGAAGCTAAGTATGCGTGCGGGTGCTATACGTGCAAAATATAAGTTTTCCATCATATACGTGGAGTATAAAGACAGGTGGTATAGTAGTCTGGCACGTCACGTCCGGGTGTGAAGAGCGGTTCGATTCCCTACCGGCCCACCGAAGGATTCCGTCTACGACAGCTTAATATTTTCGCCTACATTTCGTTGACATTTCGCGACCTGTGAAAGCGATAAGCGCAAGTGGCGTTTGTTCGTTTCTCAAATATCAGTAGAAAGTTACAGAACCGTTACGAGAAAGATAGGGGGCTGAATTTTTAAAAGATGAGAGGATGAGAGAATGATAAAGGAAGTGCAATCTGTTAAGGAAAATCGCTTGGATAAACGACTTTAATGAAACTTATTTTTCAATTTTTTGATTTGCGTTCCTTCGAGACTAATCCTCATTAAAACATGAAAACAAAAAGAATGAAGAACTGTGACATTTTTTAAAATGATAAACTGACAAAATAACTGGCTTAGCCGGAATTAAGAATTTCGGGAAAACATAAACAATATTGATGATAATTTGGGGAAATGTTTTGAAAAACTAATGGATATTACTTGCGAGTAATTAAACAAACCTGGACAACTTCCGAGCAGTGGCATACAATCAACAAACAGGCCTTAAATACCATTTGCAGTGTAGAATTGAAGAAACCGGTGTCAAGCGTCAAATCATACTGGAATTCATCAAATTATTCAAAAGGAACAACTATTGATCAGCATCAGAAGCTTATTGTTTCTGGATATTTGCCTTCATTTCCGAATTCTGATTACCTTCAAAACATATGAAGCAAGATGAAAATATGTGATTTTTAAGCTTTCGGTTAATTGCATAAGATCGCGTGAAGGGAAAATTGGATTCAGCAATCTCACGATTTTAAAGCGAGAAAGCCATTACTCGAAAATGTATGTTTTTATATACTGAGTTGATCATAAACAAATTTTGATAAAAGTAACAGATCTGCTTGGAGTAATCGCAGCTCACTGTGAAAACATTTACGCTGGTTTTCTTTTGCGTGTCGCTGCTTTACCTTTACAGTAATCATTTTGGACTTCCTTAACTCTTGAAAAAAGTAGTTTCGTTTATGATTCAACTGTAGCTCTCACTTCAAAATCGTTCGCTTACCATCTTATGGTATGGTCGTGAATTATCAACTACAATAGCATAGATAAAAGACAACTGTTTTTGAAATAAAGATGGCAAAAAGCCGCCTCTCTCCCTTTCCAATTTTCAAAACACATGATTGCTGTTCCTCAGAATAAACCGACGGAATGCTTTTAACATTAGCTGAACAAACCTTTGGTAGAAGAAAGAAGCGCGGAGGGAGCTGAGCGCTGAGATTGTGGGCTAAAATGAATATGTGAAATTTGATTTTTTGAACAAAAAACACTAACTGGACGATGGAAAGTGCACACTTCGAGCGCTGATTCAGGCGAAGCAGTGCGATTGGGGCGGTGGTACGTACCTTCTGATCGGTCACTGTTATTTAAAATGTTGGCAAACAGTGCCTCAACCCGGAACTATTTTTCTAGCCTTTCGACCAGCCACTCAAACATCCTGCAATTTACCTCCATTGTCCAGAACAAAGGCACTGCGATGCAGCTCAGGCAGGTATCGAACTGAAGTTGAAACTGAGCGGCAGTGAATTCGGATTTTAGCAAAACAACCGCGATGCGTGTGTTAAGCTCAGCTGATGTTTAATGACGAAACAGTACTGAAAATTACTGGCGACATGCACCTGGCTGGCCCGTGCGATCATGGGTTTTTGCAGTATCTCATGCATTGTAAAATCACTTGGAATCACAACAGCTGAAATTTATAACATACTGGTCCTCGAATTTCGGAAAGTTAATCGCACAATTATCACGTGCACTTGGAAGAAGAACATTCTATGAAAATTTCAACTTTCTAGCTTTTCTGGTTCCTGAGTTAGAAATTTTTCCGCCAAAAATTTTGCGAAGCCGCGAGTGAGAAAAACGAGTGCAAGGGAGGAGGGGTGGGGGGCTGAATTAGAAATCTCTGAGTTTTCAATGGACAGTTAACATACCTTTATAATTTCAGCCTCCCGGCTTTTCGAGCTCCCGAGCTATCGATTTCTCCAAAAAAAACTTTCACGGGGCCGTACTTGAGTAACACGCACAACGGGATGAGGGAGGGGGGGGGGGGG